GACGCGTTTCAGAAAGGCGGGGCATAGAGGAGAAACAATAATGTACAGTATGTGGAAAATAATGTGTTTTTTGAACCTTAAACCGCATAAACACATTTCATTACACCAAATACACAAAATAATGTTATTTTTAGCAACATCATATGACCCCTTTAAGTAAGACTGGTAGTTGTGGTAAAGTGTGTGCAAAGGGTTTTTCTGCCACTTTAATGGGAAATTCATTACAGATGTGTTTTGAATGGCTAGAAGTTGATGTATATCGAATTATGCAGACAACTTTTTTTTTTTTTTGTAATGAAATGTGTGTCAATCATTGGAATGCATCTAAAAAACAGGTCCTTTATAAAGGCATGTGATCAGGCAAGGACATAAAAAGAACCCTCCCAATTAATATGAGTATTCAATACTACTACTACTAATAATAATAAATAATAATAATAATAAATTATTATTAAAATATTTTATTCTAGCATGATTCAAATAATAAATCAATAGATACATTAATATTGCAAAATAAAAAAAACAAGTATTTAATTTAATAATAATAATTGTATTTTATTTTACAACAGAACAACACTAGTTGTTCTAGTTCTAACACAATTACTAGTATTTACAGTGGTGTGAAAAAGTGTTGGCCCCCTTCCTGATTTCTTATTTTTTTGCATGTTTGTCACACTTTAATGTTTCAGATCATCAAACAAATTTAAATATTAGTAAAAGATAACACAAGTGAACACAACATGCAGTTTTTAAATGAAGGTTTTTATTATTAAGGGAAAACAAAATCCAAAACTACATGGCCCATGGTGTGAAAAAGTGTTTGCCTCCTAAACCTAATAAATTTAAGAGATTTCTTGATTGCGACCAGGTGTGGCAGTAATCAGGCCTGGGTGTGGCTAGAGAAATTGAACTCAGGTGTGATAAACCAGTTTTAACAGGGGGGCAAACACTTTTTCACACAGGGCCATGTAGTTTTGGATTTTGTTTTCCCTTAATAATAAAAACCTTCATTTAAAAACTGCATGTTGTGTTTACTTGTGTTATCTTTGACTAATATTTAAATTTGTTTGATGATCTGAAACATTAAAGTGTGACAAACATGCAAAAAAATAAGAAATCAGGAAGTGGGCCAACACTTTTTCACACCACTGTATGTCTGTTGTAATTCCTTTCCAACATTACGCCACAGAGCTTTTATTTTTGGTGGAAAACTGCAGGGTGTCTATAAGCAACCCAAACTCACAGCACATGCAGAGATGAGTTTGTATGGAACACTGAAAACAACGATTAATGAGCTGCTTGCATGTAAATGAACAAAGTGCAGCGATTCGCTCTAAAACATGCAGTGCATATATTCATTTCATTAAATCACAGTCTTTCAGATTTTCCGACTAAGCCTTTGAGGTAATGTAACTGAGAGCATTTATGTTTAGTGTGCTTACATTAAATACTGTGTATATGTCTCCATGCAGTGATGCTGAAGCACAAAAGGGTTTTTATCTTCAAATTTCCTAGCCAGGTGTTTGTATAAGTTGAGTGAAAATCAGCTGAGAAAGACAGAATAGTAGTTATGTGGTAACAGTGTTCTCACCTGTCTCCAGCACTTCAGTCTCCACCTCCTGCTCCTCAGCAACTCCCTGCATCAGGTAGGTCTCATCATCGTACACCAGCACCTGAGCAGCGAAGCCCTGCTCCAACCGCGCACCGGGCACCGGCTCCACGATCACCGCAGGGTACTCCACCTCTCCCTCTATCTCGCCCTCAACCTCATACACACCCTCCTCCTAGACAGAGAACAGAGGTTTCATGAACAAGAAGAAACCTGAAATCTAAAAATAAACTTTCCAAACATTAATTCTAAAAAAAATAAATAAATAAGATTTCAAGAGTTGCTGTTAAGTTTTACTACACTAAAATTAACACTTTGGACAAAAAACTAAATGGACTTTCACAGACTTTTGCTACAAACATAACTATAATGCTAACTATATTAGCATCCACACCAGTGGACTATAACATTCTGTTTATTATAAGCACATGCTGCAGATTGGCTTTCAGTGTTTTAATTGTTCACCAGCTGGAAAAAAAAAAAATCTTTCTGAAAGTGATTTCAACGATATCATTCCTGTGTCATTGTCTTTATAACTGTGGTGTATATTTCCCTGGTTAGGAAGATTATTGAAACCTTATAGTTATTAGTAATTTACTAATTAATAGTAATTAGTTATTTTTACTATTGGCATCACATGATCCACTTTGCAGCTTATTCTGACCAAAACTGCCTACTTTTACAGGAAAAGATGTTCTGATCAACATGTAAAATGACCACAATACAAATAACAATTTTCTTTTTTAAGAGACACATGCTATCAGAATTCATTTACTCCGTTAGCACACAGTGTTGTTATTCTTTACTAAAATAAATTTTCAGTAACTGAAATAAAGGGGAAATAATATGAAATATAAATATTACATGAAAAACGTAAACTACTTGGCAACTAACTGAAATAAATAAGATGAAATACTAAAATTACTAAAACTGACAAATTAATTAATAATTAATTGAATTAATAAAGGAATTAATAAAAAAGACAAGATGACTAAAACTTAAACTAAAATTAAAACAGTAAATATACAAATAGTCTAGTGGAGAACAATTCATCCATGCAATTTACAGAAAAAATGTTTCTCTTCATAACCTTTAATCAAAATCTGGAAATTTGCTTCCACATTACAATGGCGTTCCTTCTCTGATAATGAGATCAGATGAGGAAGTGCGCTAAAATCAAAACCATCTGTTTTCTCATTCAATATTCTGTTTAAAATGCATCACAATACTGAATTAAAGTTGGTAACAACTTCGGGTTCACCCAGATTTAAAAAACAAAATCGGATATAACTCAGGAAAATGTTGAATAAATTGGTACACTGGTGAACATTTCAACAACTTGTCTGTGATTCAAAAAAGGAGGACTCTAACGCTTAGCATCAGACTTTACTGTTCCGTCTCATTGACAATCTGATGTAAACTGCACACAAAAATGGTAAACACTTTCTGAATCTGGCAAGCTCTAATCTGATTGGCTGATCTTCAGTAAGTTCCTGCCAGAAAAAACTACAGAGTCAACTAACATCAGGCCAGTAGTTAAAAGTATGACTGTGCAAGATTATGGCAAGCCTAACTCCTGCAAATTGTGTCATGTCAGCCAATCACATTGGAGCTCGCCATATTTGAGAACACATAACTCTGTGGATATGCCATTTTAATGCGAGACCAGCAGCAAAGTAATATAAAGGTATAGATATGCTAAAAATTATTTTGTAGTGGTAAAAATCTTACCGTTAAATGGTCGTCCCCTGCTGTGACATACTCCACCACTGCTCCTCCACTGTCTACAAGCACCACAGACGTCATGACTCATACCCCACACTCTGCTGACCCCCTGTGGCAAACTCCAGGACTGCAGTCAGATAGCAGGATAAGAGACAAAAGACAAAAGTCAAAAAAAAGATCAATAGCACTGCAAAAACAACATGAACCTCATGTGCAGAGCCAAAGCGACCTGCTCTCCTGTTCTCTCAGTCTGGTTCAACAGGAAACTCACTCTTGCTAAGGAACAGAACACCAAAACAGGAAGCCTGCCTGTGAAACACTGAGGCCATGGCAACAGCCAACATACTTTGGTTTGTGGCGCTGAAATGACAACTACTGCAGCTGCAAAAAAAAAAAACTAGCAGATTAAAAGGCTTTCTCAATTCATCTTCTTACAAAGAAAGTATGGGAGGGAAACAAGAAGCGTCAGTGGGACAGTCTAGCAGCTAAATTATTGAGTGACTGCAACCACGCTCCAGACAGCTAAAGTGACACACCGACACAACACAGTGGTAACATGCACATGCTCAAACCACTGGAAACGAAAGAAATGGTTCAACTAAAAATGAAGGCTCTCTCATTATTAGGGTTGGGTATCGTTAGAAATTTTCCGGTTCCAGTTTTGCCTAACGATTCCGGTTCCATTTAAATGAACTATTATTATTTTTATTTTTTTTTACTATTTTACCTTCATTGAATGTAGTGTTGCTGGAAGGTAGTAAGTAATGTTGAGTAACGCTAGTCCATCAATCACGTGCTTCAAAGTTGATGTTTTTTACACTATCAATAACATTTTGCTTTTCAAGCAGGAATAAGCTGGTTGGCCAAATAGTCCCTTGAGGGCTAAGACACTTGTTCATTTCCCTAAATTAATGAAATATTAACTGTTATACTTATAACCATGTATACACACTCCATAAAGCCCCTATTTTACAAATAATAATGCAATCAGGAGATGGTGTGATGCAATGAGCGGTTTCCACATTTTTAAACATTTAAAATGAATGAAAACAACGTGCACAGTCATCAAAGACGCGAGTGCGCATACAGTCGTGGAAAACTATGTGTTCGGCAGTTAAAGACACGGCGTGTCTGTGGAGTGCAACAATGGGAACAATGTGCTCAGTAATTAAAGAGGCAGGGCGGCGTTTCTGTTATTTGGTTTGTGACATCCTTACGGGAAACGCCGGCACAAGGCTGCTCACAGTGCTTTGTCACATGTCGCACCAGAACCGTTTTCGGAAACGAAACTTAGAAATTGCTCACGGTTCCGGTTCTTTTCAAAAAACAGAACCGGTTCTGAATAAGAACCGGTTCTCGGTTCCCAACCCTACTCATTATCTATAAACTCTCATGTTGTTCCAAATCTGTATAACATTCTTTTATCAATGAAAAGATTAGGTTTAGCAGAATGTTCTTACCATTCTACAAAAAAGCACCATAAAAGAATGCCAAATGACTAAGGATGAATTACAATTCCAGTCACTGAGAATTATCAGCCTAAAGTGCCATTTCAGGTTTCCAGAAAGAGTAAATGTGAATGGAAATCATTACTTTGGTTAGATATGTTTAAAAAAAAACATGCAATTATGCATAAACTATTCAAGGTATACTGCATACTAACAGTGATAATGATTTTTTTTTCTTCTTTTGTATTACAAAGAGATTTCACATGCATTCTGCTATTTCTCGTTTAAGATTTTTAAAAATGTTAAGAGCTTAAATGTTAGTGAAATAATGCCAACTGAGGAAAAACCAACTGTCAGAGAATAATTTTAAAATTAAATTATCCAAAATATCTGTTTTTGGCCAAGATATTTAAATTCATCACCATATACAACTTGTATGCTATATATAAGTGCCCCAAATGACAGTAGATAATATGCACTTAAACTGTACTATGTACTGTCTAGCACATGACATTTGAATGGCTAGTTTGTGTCAGAATCTGATAGCCTGTTCCCTTCCTCTATGTAATTAAAGCTGTAACAATTAATTGCATGAAGTGTCTAACATTCAACACTTACTTTTTTTTTTTAAAGGGGTGGTTGATTGCGATTTCACTTTTTTTAACGTTAGTTAGTGTGTAATGTAGCTGTTTGAGCATAAACAATATCTGCAAAGTTACAATGCTGAAAGTTCAAAGCAAACGTAGATATCTTTTAAATGTTATGGCAGTTTAATGTCTACAAAAACGGCTGGTAGGGACTATGAGTTACTTCTTGGGTTTGTGACATCAAGGCAAGGCAAGGCCATGTTGCGCTGCTTTAGAGAAGAGGAAGAGTTGTTGCCATGCCGTCAAAACTAGGGGTGCACAAAAAAAAATCTATTCATATATGAATCGTGATTCTGTCTTCTAACGATTCTAATGGATTCACAAGTTTCAAAATCAATGTTCTAAAGCAGCAGTTCTTAATCCTGTTCCTCACGTTCCCCTGCTCCGCACACGCTCTGCATCTCTTTCTCTCTCTCTATCTATCTATCTCTCTCATTCAGATCTTCAGCTCATCAGCTCAGCTCCAACAATGAACTGTATACACTTTGTGTATAGACAGACAGATATATTTCACAAAGTTATGAGAAGCGTTAAACATGGATGCGCACGCGGTTGTCGTGCTGTATTAAAGCTTTAATCAGGATAAAACCGTATATTAAAGGTAAAAAAAATTTAAAAAAATTAAAAAAACTTATTTCCGCTGAACACAATATATTTTTGTTTTTGAGCAACATACAGAATATTAGGAACAGTATAATTTGTTAATTTTTTCTTTGATTTGTATCCTAAAAAGAAAAAAAATCAAGACTGACCTCTTTATTTAACTTTATCTTTATTTAACCTAAATCTGTAATTAGTTATTTAATTTTAATTATATAATTCATATACATATCATTTATTTGATATCATTTCATATCATTTAGTTATATAATTTCATATACATAATTTGATTTAATAATAACCCAATTTGAAGCAAAAACAGAATGTTCTGTTCTGACTAGCTTTGTGAAATTATACTACATGCCTGAACAAAACAAACAGCACAAGCTCTGAATGAGATGCAGATTCACTCTCTGACAGCAGGAGGCGCTTCTACAGCGTTACCTTGGTTATCGCAGTAAACAAAGCAGAGCTGCGCTGAAACACTGCTTTAATGTGAA